GTTCTGCTTCTAATTGGTGAGACAAAGTTGTTACAGGCCGGAGCTAAGCTAAATCTAGGGGGGGTTTTATAGCAAGAGAAAAGGGGGGTGATACGGAGAGAAAGGGGGTGGTAATTAAGCTCGTCCTACCACAACCTATCAAACTATACATAAATGATGAGCGAAACGCTTAATGCTGAAGCCCAGCTACTGCTTGGGGCTTAGACCACCACAGGGCGCAGCTAATGAGTCATGTGACAAACCCCAAACTACTAGGAATGACACTATCCAGTGACATAGCCGAGCGGAAGAATGTCTACATGTACTGAATAAGGGTGAATCTCTGTAAAGCATGATTTTTGCATGTTACCCACCGGATGTTAAAGCCCACATGTGACACGTCATGGAGCGCTCGTCCAAAGAGCCCACCATACACGAATTAGATTTCATGTACGAAGTTTGAAAGCAGACTGCCATGTCCATATTGCTGTCGCTCAGGGCCGGTAGGCGAATCAACAAGATAAAATGTGCGATGGCCTTCAGCCCAGCCTGGACACGCCGGAGGTTCATGCGGGGGTTGAGGTACACGGCGAAATATGATACTCAAACTGTTCGAGCCTGACGAGTTGCCGCGGATGACGACAAGTCTGCTAGGGCTGGGCCGGATTGTGGAGGCAGCGATGCGACAAGGGAGAGATCTAGCTAAGATGCGCGCCGAATGGGTATCTAGGCATGTTGACTTAGAGAAGTGCTGGCCTGGGATCAGCGTATACCACACTATATAGAACCACGCGCAATAGCTCCACGAGCATTGTACAACTCCACTGGTATCTTAATTATATTTTGATCTCTCCTCTGTCTCCCGCAGATTTCCATGCTTAGGTTCCATCTCCTTGATCATCGAGACTCCAATGAACGGGTCTAGGATTCCGAGAGGTTTCAAGAGATACCATATACCGACAGTGGCGGGTATGGCGAGTACGCCGAACATGAGGTACTCGTTCCAGTATATGCCTTCATCTTCAGCACCTTCGTTCGTTGTTTCTCCTTCTTTCCCCGTGCTGGATGCTTTGGAGCTTTCCGCTTGCTTCGGATTGTGCCCACTCTCATCATCCTTCCGCTTAACGCTGCTGTGTGCGTAGTGCCGTTTGGGCGCGTCGAGTTGAGGATTGCGGCGTTCGATGAAACATGGCGAGGCGGATGCAGTTGACCTGGATCGTATTAGACAAAACAGAACTACTGGTATACGGGACAGTTTCCTTGAGTTACATTCTAGTGACATACGTATACGCGAGGGCGCAAGGAAAGGCTCGAGCCGATGGTGCCATGCGGAGGCAGCGCGTTGCGAGGTATTTGGACGCGGAGCTAGTGGCGGCTGCCATTGATCGAGATCAGGGGAATGGTAGGTACACAACACGCAATGAAGCAAGTTGCTAGCTATGTGGAAGCTACATCAGAGGCGTGTAGGGTCTGGACGCGAATGGTCATGGTGGATAGAAAAATGTGGCGTGGTGTTGAACCGAGTTATCCGCTTCCGTTGCGTAGAATACATCACTACAATAATTCCTCCTTTCATCTAGACGTCCTCCAACCTCGTCACCATCTGCCTGCACAGATTCACTCTATGCTCCATCTGCCTTGTCTGTATGCTCTCCTAGTACAAGCTCTACCCGCTTGGCCAAGTCCGCCGTCTCCTTTTTCACCACAGTAAAGGGAATGCCCTGCTCTCGGAGTAGTTTGCAAAACGTCTGATGCACCGTCATCCATCTCTCAGTATTTTCAGGCATCAAGCGTACCCCATCGTCTACAAGCCAAGGCGTTCCGGCTTCGCAAACAAAGACACGCGCCTCCTGCATTCTCAGGCGTGAAACTTGCCACGCTTTTGACTCTAGCATCCTGGCTGCGGCTTCTTCGCCGACATGGAGCATGGCATACACGACTGGATCCAGCGCTGAACGATCTGAGATAAGCCATTTGCGACCTGCTTCTTCTTCCGCCGCCAATTGTGCGGCGAGAATAAGATGCTGGAGCTCGAGTGCCCGGACTGGCGAATTGGTGATGTCGGCGGCAGTGTAGTTGTGCTTCCGAAGCACTCCGCGGGCAACTTCTTTGATGAGCAGAGGTTTCGATTTTGTGTGGCTGAAATGTAATGCCAGCGCGTCAACGAGCGTTGTCTTTCCCGTGCACTGGGCTCCGACGACATATATGTTTTTAACTTTTGAGGTAGCGGTATCTCCTCTGGTCTGGATTGGTTGCTCTACCGCAGGAAGAGCAATGCAAGTAGTCGAGTCGACTGATCGGGGTCCAGCGCACTGAAACGCTTGGGAAATGGCTTCATGGACCTTGAACCCGTCGGGCTCATTGTTAAATTCGTTCACAGGCTCCTCCTGCATCGTGGAGTCGATGCTCTTCGGTGGGTTTGCCGCCATACTTTACTACTCCTCCAGCGGGTGACGACTACTCCAATATCAAAGGCTGGGGACGCAGAGCTCTAATAGGGTCTTATCTAAAGAGTGAAGTGCACGATTTGCTAAGCAATGAATTGCTCCTCACGGCTGAAGTAGGTAAGCAAACAATCGAGAAGCTGACCCTGCTGCCTAGGTGTCTATCTTGTGTAACGTGAGCTGCAAGCCATGGCTACGTGCATGAGCCGATCACCGACTTCACCTCATCACAGTCTTGCTTCACCTCATCACAGTCTTGCTTCACCTCATCACAATCTTGCTTCACCTCATCACAATCTTGCTTCACCTCATCACAATCTTGCTTCACCTCATCACAGTTTTGCTTCACCTCATCACAGTTTTGCTTCACCACAACTTTGGCAGCATTAATACGCCTGTTGTAGTGATCACAGCTGTCGATATGGAGAAGTTCCGATGCAAGCTCCAAGACACCATCACACCCAAAGATCAATGGTGGAACTTCACTGTGGACGGACTCCCTAAGCCCGCTCGCACGAATGCGGCAAGTTTGATCAAATTCGTATCCGTTACGTCCAATGCAAAAACACAAGAGATAGTGTTGAGCCTCCAAAAGTGTTCGCCGAATCGGATCACGGCGTCCGATCCCTTGGACAAGTTCATTCAGATCAGCTTCTCCGATTTCCGTCTTCAGGTACCAATTACTGGAAAGCCCAATGCTACAGATCAGGCCTCTCCAAGAGAATCATCAGACTACATCACCAGGCTACTTCGGGATGGGATCCAGATTAATGGTGTTCAATACTACTTTTTCGGCCACAGTAACAGTCAGCTAAAGTCGAGATCATGCCTTCTCTACGCCGCACCCAGACAGGAAATCTCTCGGAAGGTGGAGAGCCTTGGTGATTTTTCAAAAATCAAGTCAGTGGCTAAGAAAGCAAAGCGGATTGGACTGCTGTTTTCGGCCGCCGACATGGGAGTTTGCCTTCCCCCGGAACGATGCGAAGATATCCCTGATATCCAGAACAAGGAGTACAACTTTACCGATGGCTGTGGGCTCATCGGTATCCATCTCGCCCGACGCTTAGCAAAATCCGCCAATGTACATTTTCGAAACAAGAAGTATCTACCCTCCGTATACCAAATCCGTTACCGTGGATACAAAGGCGTCTTGACCTTAGAACCAGCGCTAGGAGGCGAGAAACAAGTTCAGTTCAGAGATTCCATGCGCAAGTTCAAAGAGGCGGCAGACTTGACATTATCGGTCGTCGACTATTCAAAGGTGCGTGAGTATTGGCCCATTGTAGGACTCTTTGCTTACTACGCTTCAGCCTTATGCTTTTGGTTACCTCAACGATGAGGTTATCATCCTATTACATGCTCTGGGCATTTCAACTAAGGTTATTGTAGCGAAGCAGGCTCAACATATCGAGTTTCTTGCCCAGGTTCGAGCGCTCCACCCTCAAGCAGCCTTTCAATTTCTCTGCTTCTCCAGTCGCATGGATCTCGCCGAACGTCTCTTAATCGAAGGAGTTGAGTCCGTCAAATCGCATATCACCAAACTGGTCAAGGACGAGCAAACCAAGATGATCAATAAGCGCGGAGAGCAGAAATCTCGCATCTTCATTCAAAGTTCACGCCTACTCTTCGGTGTTTGCGATCCGTATAGTATTCTCAAGGAAGGTCAGTGCTTCGCACGAGTGACAGCACACCAGGATGGGGAGCCGCGAACGATCGCAGGTACGGAGGTCTTAGTTACGAGGAATCCTTGCCTTCATCCGGGCGATCTACAAAAGTTCAAGGCGGTCGAATGTCCCGAATTGTCCCATCTCGTCGACTGCATCGTATTTCCAACTCGCGGAAAAAGAGCGAGCGCTGATTTGATGTCGGGAGGAGACCTTGACGGGGACAAATGTAAGTCTAACTCTGAAGTTTCAGTACCTCCTGCTGATGGCATCAGTCTTCGTATGTTGGGACCCAGATATCGTCCCACGTACCGTCTCTGAGCCAGCAGAATATCCCGGAGGAAAAGAACCCGTAACATTCGGTGCCATCACCGACGATGACCGAATCAAATACTTTGCCGAATATACTTCAGTCTCACTTGGACAAGTGAAGAACCTATATCTTGATTGGGCAAGGCTCAAGGGGCCCATGAGCGCGGAGTGCCAGCAGCTGAACCGACTATTCTCCCAGTGCGTCGACGGGAATCGAATCAAAATTCCAGATCACTTCAAGGATCCACCAAAACCGCCTCCAGATACTCCTACCTTCATTCTAGATGTTCTTCACGAGGAAGCCAAAAGTCTGCTCGATGCGGCCGCGATAATCCCTCGTAACATAGAAGACTGTTCTTTTGACACTCTAGAGTTGCTACTTAGTCGAGATACCTTAGCCTTGTCAGAATTCGAATTGATTCAGCTGGTCCTCAGGTGGTGCGACAAGAACCACGAGCCCTTGTCTGAACTCGCAACTCTCTTCGACTTCAATTTCTTGAGCGATGAACAGAAAGCCTGGACGCTGACGAGGCTTCCGACAACTGACAATCTATCGTGCTTGGTCATGAACGGTCTTATGCAATCCGATATCGTAAGTCACACGGAGCTGAACCGATTTGGTTTGCATCATCCAGGTCTGAGGTGGAAGCGCGTATTTGACTCCACTTTGGACCGTATGGGAGCTTTTTTAGGTTCCACTTCAAGGATTCTCGAAATCTTCCACAAGAAGCTGATCGTGCTTCGCATTGACGAGAGATTGAGCGTAGCGATTTACGTCCCGAAGAAGATTGAACCGCACCAGGAATGCGAGGTTGACGCCAGCGTCCGAGTCTTCGCGTTCCCGCACTCGCAAGGCGGCCAATCTCCCAACTACGTTGTCGTGCCCACCAAAGTCAATTACCGTCTCTTTTGCGACTCTTCTGCTCTTCAGCTTTACCAAGGCGAGAGGCGCAATACTTGGATATTCCTACAGCACGGCCCCTTGAACGACAGCGCGTATCGAAATACTAAAAGTACTGGTGACAGAAGAAGGAAAAAGCAGATGACCGTTGATGAAGGCGCGAATCTTGAGCTGCGGGCTAGCATCGCGCTGGATAAGATCAATAAAAGGATACAGGCTCACGTAGGACGAGTGAACCGCACTGGTGTTCTTGCAGCAGTAAGTGACTTGGCTCCTCGTTTCTGCAGTCAGATTTCTCATAACCACTATATAGGAGGTGTACGTGATCAGCAATAGAGATGTCAAGTCCTTGCAAAAGCTTGACGAGTGGCTCAACTACATCGACACGGAGAACACGCTTCCACTCTTCGAACAAGAAGCGCGTGCTTATACTACAACAACGTTGAAGGACATTGATTGGTCCGTACTTCCGGAATTCTTCTCGGCCATTGCAAGGGACGGGAAGGTTCACGAAGCTAGGAACATAGAATCTGTGGGTGGTCTCACGGCACTCCTCGACTGGCTACTTTGCTTGAAACAACATACCACAATAGGCGCTATCTATCGACTACTTCTGGAACCAGAGGCAATACAGAAGCTGTCCGATAGGGAGATTTTGGAGATCTTGCTCCGATATCTACCTCACGTTCCTTGGGTTTCTGCGATTATTCTTAAATCTCACCTTTGGGACCACCATCGCGAGGAAACCCCATTCAGAGATGAAGTCACGGGGATGTCTTTCAATATCTTACGCAACCTGACACTTTCTGCCTGCCGCGTTGGCGACTTCATCACGGAACCGTTGCAAAGCGTCCTCCAAGAGATGAGGCAACTCCGCCATCAAGAACTTTCCGAGCTCGTCGAATTGATTGCATTGACAGCCCCATCTGCGGAGTCCGCAATGAAGTTGATGCTGGAGATCATAGATCCGGAAACCAGTCGCCTCATTGTTGGGCCTCCAGTAGCAACTGCAGGATTCGCGAAACAGCTCTTTGGAATTGCGCTAGAGCATGTAGACGAGACCGAAGAAGCTAAGAAAGCGAAAAACTTTCCGAATAGTCAATTACTTGATTTGACATACAAACACGAAAGCAAGGGATTCTCCATCGTCGAATGCAAGCTCCGGATCGACTCCAAGATTGGTGTTAGAATGGGAGACCACGTACGATTGACTCCAGCATCGCGGCCTGAAAATGAGCCGGGAAGAAGCCTTGTTGCCATTGACGCAATAGTGGAGTCGGCCGACATGGGCCTTGGCACATTCCGCTGCCTTCAAGGCCTACCTGAGTATTTAGGAAATTGCTCTTGGACCCTGCTGAACTGCGGTTCATTTACTAGTTGCAAAACGATGATCGACGCAGTGACGAGCCTCTATACGGAAAAGCTAGAATGCTGCAGGATCTACGACACCTTGACGCTTCGGAGTGGTAAAGCTAAATCGGGATTCGTGAAATTGCCATTCCAAATCGATACCGCCCTCAACGACAGTCAGAACCGAGCTATCGAATCTGCAATGGTCAATCCAGTCAGCTTGCTATGGGGCCCACCAGGCACTGGGAAGACCCGGACGGTGGTCGCGATCTTGCTCCAACTACTCGTCGCGGCGGCAGACAAGCGTATATTAGTTACTGCTCCCACCCACAACGCTGTCGATAACATACTTCGGAAGTTTATTGACGAAGGCGTTCATACAAGAACTAATACTACTCCCATCCGGGTATCAACTGATGTCAGATGAAATTCCTAGACCTTGCATCCATCCCAACACTGACTAGTTACCAGGTCCGAAAAGTGGCTGAAGATTTGAAATCATACACGTGCGACGCGATGCTTGGGAAAGACTTGAACGCCTACTTCTCCGCACGCAAAAAAGCCCAAAAAAGAGTCAAAGAATGCCGGCTAGTGTTCACAACCTGCATCGGAGCCAACCTAGGCCTGCTCCGCGACGAAAAGTTTTCTATCGTACTTATCGATGAAGCCTCTCAGCAGACCGAAGCTACGACGATAGTCCCGCTAGTCAAAGGCTGCGAGCGGGCAGTCTTGGTTGGCGACCATGTGCAATTACGTGCAACGGTTGGGCCACATGCGCAAGCGGTCGATTTTAACGTCTCACTCTTTGAACGAATGTACGCCAATGCCAACCGCCCGGACGTACAAAAGATTATGCTTGATAGCCAATACCGTATGCACCGAGACATCTGCGCCTTCAGCTCGACGGAATTTTATGGCGGGAAGCTCGCGACTGCAGTTACGAACGATTCGAGACCTCTCCCCATTTCGAAGTATCTATGGCCACTGCTGCCATCGAAAGACTCTGCTCGGATGGTCTTTATGCAATGCTCGACTAGCGAGGATCTTGGCCACAAATCGAAGGGTAATCCAGGGCAAACGGCACTCTGTCGCGAAATATGCGCTCTTCTTGCAACGCCCCAGGACCCCAAAATACCGATGCAGAAACACTCCGTTGTCATCTTGACTGGCTATAACCGTCAAGTCGAGCTTCTGCAAAGCCCTCCCATTCCCGGTGTGGAGGCGTTCAGCGTTGATGGCTTCCAAGGGCGGGAAGCGGACATCGTGATATTCGTGACGGTAAGATGCAATCAGTCCAAGACGATGGGATTTCTCACAGATATGAGACGGCTGAATGTTGCTTTGACGCGGGCTAAAGCGGGCTTGATTATCATCGGGGACCGCGCTACGCTAGAGGAAGGGAATGATGAAGTCAGTGCGGCGTTGTGGAAGAGGTTGATTGCGTGTTGCAGCGTTGTTGCTCTTCCGGATAGCACCGCGAAGACCGCGATGACCAGCCGGCCGAAAGGTCAGAGATGAGAAACGTTCAGGCTGATCTCGGTTCGTCATGTGCTCTTTTTGCTGCACGTGGAGTTGAGAACTCGTGAATCCCAGGATGGACCACGTGCTCGGCTTGCTTTCGTATCACGAGGTAGTTAGTCTATCTATCAGTTCACTTAATTGGCCGTTCTTGCAAAGTTGTATTATGCTACTTCTGTGGAGTGACTACGTTCTGATTTCGATCGGCTTCTCGCACAACACCACCCATCCGTAGTACGAGGAGCTCTCTTCAAGGTATGATTAGGCCCTGCTGTGTGCCCCTACCCAAACATCAGATTGCTAACCGCTCGTTCAGAGACTCGGCACCAGTTGGTGCTTCTTTTCGCACACCCAAGCAAACCAACCATCACCATCACTATTGAGCCATGCCCCGCCCACAAATCCAGTTTGGCAAGCCAACCGTCCTTGGAAAGTATGGACCCTCAAAGCCCTCCTGCTTTCCATCCCAAAGCAAACACTAACCTCCCCGAGCAATTTTCCCAACCCCCCCGACCCAACCAACGCCTACCCAGCCAAAGTCTTCCTCCACTCCGGCACGTGCGTTATCACCGACCACTACGCCGCTTGCATCAAAATCATGTTCCCCAACACCCCTCCCCCCTCGACCCCTAACCGCGTGTACGCCTGGGAGCAGCCCTATCTCCCCTACTCGCCGTACGCGCCTTGGGATCCCAAGCTTCTGAATCTCCATCAGTGGTATGTGGATATTGTGCACCGATATATGTGTACGGATGAGCCGTTACCGACCGTGGTCTATCGGAATGCTATCTTCATTGTGGGGCTAAGAGAGATTCGGCGGGCGATCTGCAGGAAAAATCCGAAGCGGGGGTGGGAGGTGGTGAAGCTTCTGGAGGGGTTTGCGGAGAAGGGGCTACTTCGGACTCCGCCGGCTTAGGGGGGCGAGGGGGTGGGAAATGGGAGGAATGGTGGAGTGGGAATGTTCAGTATACTTGGGGTGCCTGAGCTCACGCCCGGTGATCGGGATTTTGACATAGAGTTGAGGGACGTGCGATTGGGATGGAGGTCTCAACACTTCGCTGGGTCCGGGGAAGGCCATTGATGTGCCTTGATCTACCTCTTACTCAGTCGATGAGGGCTCACACCGGCCCGTAAATGTAATGCGGTTAATTCCTCGATGCGAGTGAGATGAATAGCAAGCATTAGTCATCGGTCTTGGGGGAGGGCGTTCGGGTTCCGGGCTCTCTTTTAGGCCGGAATGAAGTAAAAGAAATTGGTCGACGTGGCGCTTGAAAATCTGCGCCTTCACACCGACTGCTCGCAGACTGGAAGAACATATAGAGAATGCTACCTTGTATTGCATCGGAGCTGAAGCGGGCGGCGGAAGCTCATTTCCAGGGTCATTTCGGCCCTTCGACCACCAATACCAGAAACACCAAGTATTGGGAGATTCTGACATTCTGTATAGGCATGAAAACCCTCAGTCGTGGTTGAGGTTGTGGTGTTGCGGGACGAGTCGGATCCGCCGTCCGACATCGGTCATCTCCGGAGGTCAATGGGCTCTTCATTCTTCTTCATGCCCTGACCCCCAAAACGCTCGTCACCACCAATCCAGCAACCGGGCTGATCAACCCAGAGCAGTCTTCGGAAGGCCCGAATATGCAGCATCGCCATTAGTCTAGTCCCGCACCCACGTCTCCACGAGATCGACCTGCACCAGGATGCCCGACTGAGTGCATCCAACGTACCAATTGCAAGGAAGGCGGTTTTGTCGCATCCGTTGAAGTAATCAAGCTCGTCAATGAAAACTGCTGCGCTTCGGGTTCCATAAAATCCCCATTTTCCATCCGTTCTGTTGGTAGAGAGAGGATTTCATATGTTACGTCGCGCCTGATTTTCCGCTACAGCTGATTGATGGGGGACATGGTGCTGCAAAACTGCGAGGAGGTTGCGTCCAGCGATAATAAGTATGCTCAACGTTTTAAAGATCATGCGAAAGTTATAAGGCGGTATAATCACGACATGAGAATTAGAGGGAAGTCTAATATCGCGCTCTTAACGCTGACCCGACGGAAGAGCCGGTCCAAGGCCAATCAAGGATTGCAAAGTCATCACGTCGTTCTATCCGCTAGAGTCGGAGAATAGGATCGACTTGTCGGCGTTCAAGATCCGAGGAGTCTCCGCTTTGGTCTGCTGGAAGAAGCAACACGCCGGGTGTTCAACAGCCGGACAGCCTCTCAGGGGACATTCATCGGCGTACGCCGCTAGCGGCCGCGATATGCCCCAGGCTTCTCCACAATCACTTCCCCACAACTCAAGGCCCCCGCAAAAGCTCAGCAAGACTATGACCATGCCATGGAGCTGCAAGGGCTGTCGTATCCGTACCCAGTTAGGACCCGGCACTCTCGCAGCTATGCGCACGATCTGCTCTCTGAAGAGCTCGGTAGATACAGCCGAGCAAGTCGGGCCACCTTGACATCTCTCATTGAGAGATATAGGTCCCCTGTGCCTCGCGTCTCTCGCAATAAAAGCACCCATGATCTCCTAAGATTTCGTTGTGGGACTTCTTCACCTTTCAGCAAACATGACGAACCACACCAAAACGCCGTTTAGGGTGGTAATCGCAGGCGGGAGCGTCGCCGGCCTTTCCCTAGCAAATATGCTACAAGCCAATGGCATCGACTATATCATCTTGGAAGCCTACCCCAAAATAGCGCCTCAAGTGGGCGCTAGCATTGGTCTGCTTCCCCACGGTAACCGTATTCTGGATCAATTGGGCTTGTTCGAGAAGGTGTTATCGTTGGCGCCACCCGTTGATCGGTTCAGCTTCAGAAATCAGAATGGAGAAATCATCGCAGGGCACACGGGAATAAATAGATCTTTCATGCAACGGAAAGTATCATCATTGCAAAACGCTGAGCTACATCTAACAATCCTCTAGGCACGGCTATCCAATTCTGTTCATGGACCGCCAAATGGTCTTGCAAGTCCTGTACGATAACATCAAGGACAAATCGAAGGTCCTGACCGACAAACGTGTCACGAAGGTCGAGGTCAACGAGAAGGGCGTGAAGGCAATTACAAGCGACGGATCTGTGTATACAGGAGACATCATGATCGGTGCAGACGGCATCCATAGCCAAGTCCGGAAGGAAATGTGGAGGATCGCGGACGAAAAATCACCAGGCAATATCCCCGCGTCAGAGCACGAAGGTTGGCCAACTGATTTTGTTCTTTGAATGACACGCACTAACTCTTCCGTTAGCCGTCCCTTGTACCTACGGATGCATATTTGGGATTTCGAAACCGTGCGCTGGAATTGAGCCTGGCGGTCTCCATTCCATTTTTCGCGTGGACAACTCATACCTAGTGAACGGCGGACCCAACGGCCGGGTCTATTGGTTCTATTTCTTCAAACTGCCCAAGAAGGTCTACGGCTCTGACATTCCCCGGTACACCAAAGAGGAGGAAGCCAAACTCCTAGCGGCAAGAGCCAATGACAATATTTTGCCAAATCTGAAATTTGGCCACCTGGTCAAAGAAAAAATCACGACAAACATGACGGCGCTTCCAGAATATATCTTCAAGAGATGGCATTATGACAGGATTCTTAATGTCGGTGACTCTGCGCATAAGGTAATGCTCTTGCTCTCTATGGAAGTATTGAACTGACATCTGTAGGTTCACCCAATCGCTGGACATGGAGGCAACGGGGCTATCGAGACTGCAGCCGTCCTGGTCAACTTGCTAGTCACAGCCTTGAAGAAATCGACATCAACTGGCTTGAGTACGAAGGATGTGGACGAAATCTTCACAAAGGTCCAGGACGTCCGCGAGAAACGGGCCGACACCCTAATGGAGGCTTCGCACGAGCAGCAGCGCGTGGAGGGCATGGAAACGCCCCTGAGGAAGTTCCAGGCGCTGTACCTCCTCCAGGTTGCCGGGCCTGAGGACGTCATGTTCAACTTCTCTAGTAACATTCCGTTCGCTGAGAAACTCGACATGGTTGAACTTCCGCCCAAGCCGAAACTGATTCCGTTCAAGGACGAGCTCGCGAGTGCGCCGAAATCTAGAGGTATTCATGGCTGGATACTGATGGCGGTGTACGCTACGTGCGGCTTGCTCGCACATTACGGCATGTGGATCAGATCTGCGGAGTACGGGCTGGCGGACCAGTTTGCAAGCATCATAACCACGGGCGTCTTCCCCGACGATCCGACTTTCCCTCTCAAGCGAACCTACACAGGCATCGGTGCCATCGACAACTACCTTACTTTCCTCTCAGCCGCTTACATGCCGGGGCTCGCTGGCTGGGACAAAAGCTTCGCAACGCTGCAGATGTACTTCCTCGGGATGCTTATCCAGCCTATCGCCGTCTGGACAATCGAATCCTGCCGCAAACGCAACGCCCTAACTCTGCTGAGCATCCCAACGGTCTGGCTCACGCTAGTCCAATGGGCCGGCGTCGGCATCTACATGCCCTTCTACTACATCGCCTACACCTGGATCTCCGACCGCGAGCCCTACTGGTGGGCCCTCTCCCGCTTCGTCCCCATCCACTACGCCAAAGCCCTCCTCCCCGCCAACATCATCGGCTACGTGCTCCCCACCATCCTCATGTTCCTCCCCTGGCAAGACCCCGCCACGATCCAGAACTTCGAGGCCCTGTGGCAGCTCTCCCCGATGTTCGTCCCGCTACTAACCGTCCTCTTCGGCGCCGTGCACAGCTGGCGCTACCCGCAAAAGGACGCCCACTTAACGCCCTACGCGAACGAAGAGCCGGCCGACCTGCGCGACCTCCAGCGCATCTACGCCGTCGTGGGCGTGCTGGGCACCGCGCTGCACTGGGGCATCCTGTTCAAGCTGCTAACATCCACCGACGCGGCGCTCAGCATCAGCTCTGTCTTCGTGCCGGACTTCCGCGCGGAGAAGAAGAGCCTCGGGCAGGGGATCCAGGCGCTCTTCTTGGCGGATTTCTGGGGCTTCTATCTCGCATCGTATGTGTGGTGCTGCAGCGCCGTGTGGGACTTGAAGCGCGTGGGCCGGACGGTGGCGGATGTGGGCAGGGCCGCTGCGCTGATCTTGCTGGCGAATGTGGTTGTGGGGCCGGGCGCGGCGATGGCGGGCGTGTGGTATTGGAGGGAGGGGGCGATGGCGAGGACGACGGTGCGTAAGGGTAGGGCGTGAACGGTGAGACTCTTTGCAAATCGCAGTGCTAAGATAGTTCAAGATATTTTGAACGTTTGGTGGAGGTAAGAGACGATTTGCTTGCATTGTAAGTAGGTATCGAGCGGCAAAGCCTATCGCAAGATGTTACGGATTTTCCTCCTCCTTGGAGCCATATTCCGTGTATTGGATTAGCGCATGTATGTCGACTGAGCATTGCGCTTCTTCAGCGAGGGTACTCCCGCCCTGATCGTGAAAAATTTATAGTATTACATAGGCTAGACATTGGCCTCCTTTCTAGTGGCATATCAAAGGTCCACGGGTTGACCTGTTACCAAACGCTCCTGAGCATCGACAAATCCGGAGACAGCGTCTCGAGCTGGAACTCAGGCCAAGAGAAGGAGTTGACAGGGTCTGAAGGATCATGCAGCGCGCGTCTGTTATTGTTCGCGAGTTTATCTAGCGCGAAATGATTGTCTGCATCTTCAGTATTGGCGCTGTTTAGGTCGATGGGGAACCCGAATGAGGAGAGAATGTCGCTAGCAGTTCCGATCCAACCATCGTCATTCTCCATGCGTTCTTGGTCCGCAACCACAACCGCGTTTTCTTGTTCTGAAACAACAACAGCGCTTTCTCGATGTTCGGGAGCGTACGGAGGGGAATTTTGCGGCGCACTAGGGGTTTGTGGCGAGGGACTGCTGAACAGACTGGCTAAAGAAGTTCCTTCCACGCTTTCCTCCAGGCCGATCAACATAGATTTCGTGATGGGGAAGTGAAATTGTACAGCCTCCATGGTTCTGACCATCTGCCGAAGCCATTTCATATCCTCCTCGCGAGAAGTGTTAGGGCCTGGATGCTCCAATATGTGGCTGACCAGGCATTCCATGCCAAGTCTCGCATTATCCAACATGACGGACGGGATGTTTTCGGTGCCAAAGATTTCGCGGTAAGTCAACAAGAGACGAGCAATCCGGAGAGCATTCTGATAGATGATCTGCTTGGGAAATTCTTGTGAGGGTGGGCTTGACGGCTCGATTTCGCCAAACTTGCGTTTTCGGGAAGCTGAGTTCCGGATAGCTGCTTGCTGTATTAGAATCCGGAGCTTGCAGTATTGCATGTGCAAGCCGTATGCGGTGGCGTCGAGCTCGGCCATATGGGCGTCGTCATAAGCTATCCCCGGAGGGAGATTGTCGTACCATGTGCGCAGCTTGGTGTCGAGCTCAACTAGAGTGGCGGCGGTCGTCGTGTGTGTTGCAGAAGGTTTATTCAGAGTTTCTGTGATCTCTGCCATAGGAACGCAAAGTCCGACCCAAGCAGTGACCATGGTTGATGCTGGCTCTTTCCGATTATGGCACCAAGTCGTTGCGATATTCATGACGGCTTTGGGAATGGAGCTAGGCCTCCCTAAATACGTGCACCAAATCCCTTCATACATAATGCACGCGCAGAGAAGGGAGTGCAGCAAGGTGCTCTCAGATGGCGATGAGTGTTTCTCCCGATTGCACCCTGTCGGAGTATCGGGAATCTGGTGGAGGTCAAGACTGTAAATTGTACGGCATGCCATTCCTACTACGCGTTAGCATAATCGGAAACAGGTCATTTTCAACTCACCACATAGCATCCATCCCATTCCATTATGGCCAAGGGTCACTTCGTATTCGCTGAATAAGAGAAACCCTTCGAGGGACGCAGGAGTCGGATTCTCAAGCGCGCTGGGGATATCCGCTTGGGCTTGCTTGGCATACTCGTGACGAAGAGCTCGTACCGCATGAGATGTGCTGTGGCGTGCAGCGCAGGCTAATAACACAGATTCTAGGAATTTGGAATACCACTGCGATGGGCTTCCTATAGCTCGGTGCTTCATGAACGTCTTTTTGTCCACAAGAAACACCCAGAGAGGCTGATACTTGAAGTATGACTGAAGAAGATGGTACCTCAGCTGAGCTGAGTTCTTATCTAAAGCAATTCCGGGAGGCGCGGGCTCGTCTGGCAAGGAATCAAGCCAATGATTCCCAGGTGGGGAGATTTGCTGTTGCACATTCGGACTGAAGGGGCCATACCCGTGATCGCAAGTAGACTGCGGGGCGGAAGCATTTGGCGGAGACATGACAGTTGCATTCGCGCCGTTTGATGGGCGAGCAAGGTGCGCGGCTTGCGTGTAGTTTTCGTCGGCCGTATCTCCCGAGCGTCCGTTTTGGACTGGCGGGTTTCCCAAGAGAGTCTCTAAATTCCGAATACGTTCCCGCAGCGTCTCGATATGCGCCCGCGATGTCCATCTGGAGACTGCGTTAGCTAGCAGAGAGGAATGACGGGGTTTCTGGGAAGCCCTACTTCCTGCGGTCCTCGTGGACGACACAATTGGTCTCCGACTGCTGACAGGGAGTACAAGGGCGGCCCGGGTCAAGCTTCTGGACGTCGCACTGTCAAAACGGCGTTAGGCTCGTACGGCATACGCGGTGGACGAGAGGGGAAAAAGTAGCTCCGGTGATGCACCTTGACTTTGCGCTGCCGACAGGTCTGGCAGGCAAGCGACGCGCGCACTCGAGTAGCAGTGGTCGTCGAAGACGATGTTTGGGCCGGCATCATGGCGACGAGAAGGGGAGGGGGGAGTCAAGGGGAGGGGGGAGTCAAGAGGAGGGGGATTGTTTTGAAGACTGGAGGTTGAAGGTTGGAGGCTGAGAATAGAATACCCCAGAGAACGTGGGAGGTGGAGCGTGCTGCGAACGTGGAGCCCCGGACGGCCTGGAGGCGGGGAGGGCCCCCGCCTCGGTACCGATGGCAGGTATTGCATACCACACCATCGGCATTCGCCGAGCAAGTATCACGGAGAATTGGGCTCCCTTGAACATGAAGTGGCAGTCCTCGAAGTCGGGCGAAGTTCTAATGCATATTCTGTGTCAAGCTAATTATTCTTTTTTCTATAGGCTTGCTTGTGTACACGCGCCTAGCACTGCTTAGGGCCCTCTGATGCATGACTAGAAACTATCGAGCGAGAGTTTTGGCAAGCGTAATAGCTCTTCGGACCACCTCAGACGGTGCCTAAATGGACTCCCACTTTACGTTCAAGGCAGCTTCAGGGGCTTGGTTAAATGCGGGCGTATGTTGTGTTAGAATAGTACCCTTTCTATTACAGCACCACGTCATAAGTTTGGGCACACTGATACCCTGACACTGTTGTGAGGAGCCCCCTAGCTAGCAGGTATTGGCCTTGTCAAAAGGTAGTCTAATCTCCACTGCGTTGGTCTTTACATCGAATGTGGGATTATAAAAGCCTATCGGGGTACCCCACGCAGTTGCAACCAGTGTTTAAACATACAGAATGGTGCTGTAGGCCTTCGTGGTCCATACCAATCTTTTTCAGTTCCACATTAGCATCCAGACAACACACTCTAGCCACCGTTAGAGGACCTCCAGCACGCTATGAAAACCTAGGTAGGTAGGATGTTGAAACTCCAAGCTTGCAAATGAGACCGAATCTTGCGCGTATATTTAACAAGCCCTTACCAATGTCAAGGGCGCCCCAGCATACTCCTAATACCCGACCCAAATATAAAGTCCCCAAGCACGCAAATGAGACTTGCATCATTCATTGTAGCTCGCAACCCCTTGCAAACGTTAGAGTCACGCTGCATCGATTTTTCTCTTGTTCGCATGTCTCATATATCATGTGACGTTTCATTGCTACAAGAGTTTCTTATCGTCATAGTCTTCTCAATCTCTAGGTATCCTTGTCTCTTCCAGCTTTCCCCGCCTATACAACTATATAGACCTCACAATTCCTCACCGCCATCGCCCTTCGGGCCCCCTGCTTCACTGACGAGTGGCGCAGCGGCAAGGAACCGGCCGAGGGTCGAAAAAACCCCTTGTGCGAGGGGTTTTTAGTAGGGCTTCAGCCCGAGTTTTTTGGTTCTGGGTTCGATTCGCACGGGTGTCAGTGATGAGTGAGGTTGTCTCTTTTTGCTAATCGACACGATATGATTAGGGTCTACTATACTCCTCACTTGAGCGAGGGCAGAGCGAGTTCATCACAATCAACACGTCAAATTCACTGTAGATCGAAGCATTGATCGATTGAAAGCTCTTCAAAAACGAGCATTCATCTATATCTATTACAATTCAATAACTCAGCTTTCTAAGAACCTGTCTATCCCTATCCTGAACCCAACTTAGAAAAAACGCCAACCCATCTAATTTACAGCACCAGAACTCCCCGCTCTCATTTCCGACAAAAGAAAAAACCACATGAAGATGTACAACCCCGCTCTCATTCCCAACAAAATAAACACATGAAGATGTTGTACACCACCCCAACCCCAACCCAAAGCTCACGGCTTACTCAACTGCTCCTTCCGGAACCACACAAAGAACCCCACACAAATACTCCCCTGGCACACAAGCGCCACCCAGAACCACGGCTTGTCCAGCCCCTGCAGCAGCCCCGCCGAGAAATCGGGAAACACATCCCCAGGCCCAACCTTATCCGGTGCAGTTGCTCTGGCTAGGATAGTCGCCACGGACCCGAGGACCTGCGCTGCGATGAGCGTGAAGGCTAAGTGGATGCGCGTCAACGTCTGCAGGAGGATCATGCCGAGCCCAACGCCTTGGACTGTATCGAGGAGCCCGAGCCAGAGCCATAGAGAACGGCCGAGGAGTGCGCTGGCGATTGGGGAGCCGGCCCAGGGGAGATAGAGGCCGATTCCTGAGACGCCCCAGAGCATCTGGAGCCAGCGAGGCGCGCCCAGACCAATGGCGAAGATGGGGAGGATCCAGGTGTGCGAAATGGAGAGGCGGGAGAAGATCCAGAGTAGCGCGGCCCAGAGGAAGACGAAGAAGAAGAGAATCAAGAGAATGATAGACCAGGCGGGCGCGTGGCGCGAGGCGAAGAGGTACGACCAATTGCGGCCATACGGCGCGGAGAGGAAGTAGTTCTGCACCACGACAGCGACAAAGAACCAGAGGATGATGTTGCGGCGGCCGAGGGATTTATAGAACGAGGGGACAGCCCCGGGCTCCTGGCGGTAGAAGTCTGGCAGGCCGAGGAAGAGGACTAGGCCGATGGCCCAGAGGAGGATAGCGATCGGGACGGTGATGACGGTGATGCGCCAGGTGGAGGTGAGGGCGGTGTTGGTCGTGAGAATGCCGGACGCGGTGGATTGCGTGAGGCGGCTGCCCCAGAACCAGAGCGCGACGACGTAGATCTGCTGCGTGCCTTGGATGACGCAGGCGCGGTAGACCCAGTCTTTAACGGGACTGCCGCCTTCATCGCCGAAGTTGAGCGCGAAGTAAAGAGATCCGCTGGAGGAGGCGGTGGCGTAGCAGCCTGTAGCGATATTTTGCAACCAGCCAGTGCCGGAAACGGAATGGGCGAAAGGAGCAACGCCGAGGAAGAGAAATGCCAGGCCGTAAAATACGAAAGGTAGAGAGAGGACGTAGATGGATTTGAGAGTGCGAAACACAAACCACCACATTATTGATGTCACCAGGTAGATCGTTGCCACGATGTAGAGCTTTTCGGCAGATTGACCGACTGTTCCTGTGAGTAGGTTGATCTGATACGAGTTTGCGGCGATGATCTGAGCAAAAGCCAGCAAGAAAGCGTAGATGGGCCAATCTCCGATTTTGATCGAGAGATACCTTGAAAATGTTAGCATACTTAAGTTCGAACACTCTTCCCGGAATTGGACATACTTTTTCAGACCAGTTGGTGGCTTGTAGTCTCTTCCGAGTAAGAATTCATCGTTGAAAGACTCCTCACTCATGACGCTAGGCGTCGGTGGCGCCGAGCTACCTGGTAGGCTAACGCTGCTCTCGAGATGTGCAGATACCGGATGGACGTACACAGAGCCCCGTAACTTGGCTTCTCGGAATCTTCCAAACCAGCGCTTTTCGGATTTCACGAGGAACTCTTCGATACACAGCTCGCTTTCCGAATTCTTGCCGTTCAGCTTTTCCAGACGTGACGAAAAAGCATTGTAGTACTCGCCTGTAGAGTCCGTGAAGAACGGGTCCACTTTCTGAAGCTTGAAATCTTGTCTTTCGCCGACGACAGAGTCAACGCTGAGCGGTGATGCAGAAGTAGGGCGGGAAGAATGAGCTGGCGGTGGCGGACGCAGGAAGTCTTCCGGACCTGGTGAAGTAGGTGTACTGGGCATTGCTGACAACGGAGACGGAACAGAGCTTCGAGTTCCACGCTTTTTGGATGCCGGCACTGATGTACCCTGTGCGGCTCTCAATTTGCGAATTTGTTCCAACTCTTTGTCGTCGAGGAGATACTCATCACCGATTCGGCGCATCTTATCGTCAGTCTCACAATCAGAATTGTATGGTGACGCATGGGCCGGAAGCTTAGATTCGGGTCGTCGCCTTTGCAACTTGCTGATTCCATGCCCCGGGCCAGATTTGACCCCAAGAGAAAGCTTATGGTGACTGAACAGGCTATCTCTGCCAGCTTGCCCCTCGCGAAGAGTATCGAGGATTCGGGAAAATGACACAGGACCTTCAAGCGAGACCGTAGATCCCAAATTATGTGTGAAGGGCGGTAAGGGTGGTGTAGCGGCGCCACTAGAGGAGCGAGGTTGGCCTCGTGTGGGAGAAGATGCCCGGGAAGATCCGCGAGATGAGGGTTTTGCTGCCTCGCGCTTGTGCATTTTGATTGACGTCGACTGCAGAATCTCCAAATCTTCCTTCCATTGCTCGACAGGAAAGCGTTGTATTGCAGACCTTGCGCGCATCATGGCTCGGGCGTCAGTCTTCGATGCCAGCGCAGCATCAAGGGCCATTCGGAATTGCTGTAGCAGATGCGATGCGCTGGTGCTTTCGACGGTGTACCACCATCCGGGCATGTTTCCCAGACCGCCGCTAGATAAAAAAGAAGTGTGAGAAGCGAATTGAGACGAAGATAGATTGATAGTGGGGAGGAGGAGGGGCAAGGGAGGTCGAATGTACTTACACTCTTGCTCCTACTCCGAGAGCACCTTTCCTACCGAATTCGACGGCTACCAATCCAAATGGCTCGTCTCGCGAAGGAATGAGGGCAAATTCTGCACCGCTGAAAATGTACGGTGGGAGGGCTGTGAACTCAGGCTTCGAATAAACGCGGCCCGGATAGAGCTCCATCATCTTACCCAGTTTCAATGCGGCAAATTTTCCATAAAGATCAATGACAGGACCGATGCAGATCAATTGGACATTTGGGTTTTCCTCGAGGACTTTAGGGAACGTATCAGCGATGAGATCGACGCCTTTCTGCAGTGACCAGCGACCGACGAACACGAAGAGTTCGGCATCTGGGTTCTGATCAAGACTGGCCCACTCCTGCGCTTGTCGTTTTAATTCTGCTCTGCCGTTCTCGAATTCGGTGTCGATGTGTATGTCTTCGTCTTTGGGCAGCTTCTTGTCCCATGCGGAGAGATCACTGGGATCTGGATTTGCGAGAGCTCCAATTTTGGAAAGACCCCAGAAGATTGGATACCGAGCGAACGCTCTTGTGCCGTATTTCTTGGACACTCCAACTGCGCCAAAGCCCTTTTGGTGGATGCGAAGATAGCTTGCTCCGGCATGGAGCAGATTAAATACCGATCCAAATTGAATATACTCGGATACTATGCTATAGTCTAGATCGAATACTTCACACACTTCCTGGCTTTCCTTGGGGGTCCTCATTGGCCAAAGACCCTGGAACTCGGCGTTGTGGAGAGATAGACAGCATGGAATGGTTTTCGGCAAGAGATACAGCGGCGCTGCTGCTCCATGGTAGTCGTTGATGTGGTAGAGATCGACGGGGAAGCGTTCGATGGTCTTTGCAATACATGAGTTCCACGCTGCGTAGTATATTGCGCTGTCGAGGTCGTCCATTCTGGCAGGGTAGGGCTCTGCCTTGCTTTGCTTCCTGAAAAGGGGAGAATCCAGAAGGACGTATGTTATGTTCTTCAGCGTGTGATACTGCACTTGCACTTCGTAGATGTTGCCTAATATCCTAACAGCCATCGGCTCAGCGGGTCGATCCGTGGGATAATCGACGCCGCCCACACAAGGAACCACCCAGATTAAATCTTGATGCTCAAGGTTCTTTCCCATCAACTGCGCCATCACTCCCAGTCCTCCTATCTTGATCTTAATAGCCCAATCCTCGATATCATACTCCATAGTGGCAATCAAGACGCAGCGTCTGCTGGGTGGCTTGGCTGGAGTCACGGTGCCTGATGGGTGAGACGGGGATCCAAAAGATATAGACAGAGGCCCAGGAGGTGTAACTGGGGTTCCAGGAGACCTGGAAGAGAGAATTTCAGAAAGTCTAGGACTGAATGCGTTACGTTTGAAAAGGCGTCTAGGCGGGGGCGCATTAACAGTCTCGCTAGATTTCATCGTTTCGTGTGTCCATCGCAACGCGGACGGGATGATGGATGCCTTCTCGGATGCACCAAATTCGTTGAACTTGACTCCATAGAACGACTGCATGTACAGCCAGACACCAAAGATAGCCGCCAAGACTGGGATAATCCAAAGAAGAAGAAAGAGAGTTAGTTGATACCATCTGTTCCCCACAGGTACGCGTTCGAAGCTCAAATTGCCATCGTCGAGGGAAAATGTATACGCCAAATACGGAGATGGCGGCGAGGTGGTGAAATTAACCACAACATCAGCGAGGGTATTAGGGGGCATTCGATCGAGTACGCCGTCTCCGTCTACATCCCCGTAGACACCGGTCGCATCGGGCTGGCCATTTGGATCTAGGCCCCATTGGTTGACTTGGAAATGATCGGGCCATTCTGACATGAAGTGGAATTGCCATCGACCGCCGTTCCCAAGCTCCATCTTGTTCTTCAATCCAGAATCGAAGCCAAATTGGTTAAATCTGCCGTGCGCGAAGAGATGGGGAAAGCGACGCGGTGGGTCATTCTCACGGTGGAGATCTGCGTGTTGGATGACGGCGCTACTACCTAGAAGCTTACTCCAGTACTGCGCGATGATATGCTGGTCGCTCCATTCTTGGGCCTTCGTTCCGGTCCAGTTTAGTTTCATGAGGGTGTCGTTTCCGCCGTTATATGGCATCCAGTCACTCCATGTAGACTCCCAATCCAATGAATATCGCCACAAATCAGCCCCGGCGGCTTTGTGCGAGATATAGAGAGTCTTGTTCTCTGGGAATTCGTGCAGAAGATTTCTCGTATAGTTAGCGACCCGGGGAAAGATCACTGGATTGTCCCATTGTCCAATTCGTAGCAAGAATCGATCTACAGAGCCGGTGGAGACTTGCGTCTTGGTGCGCGGTTTGTCCATAGTAACCTGGTGAATACCGTCTGACACGTTGTCGAGCGTACCTCTCCAGGTCCAGAGGGTAGGAATACCGCCAATGAAGTCAGATGTATTTTTGGCAGGGACCATCGTACAGTTGACGCTGTTTTTATCAAGTATTGGCACGGATTTATCCCTAGTCGTAGAATTGATGTAAAGAGAAGCAGTGACTTCATTGCAGTCCATTTCCTGGTTGAAATCAAACTCAATTTCGAGGGACTGTTGCTTGCCGGGGCCGTTGGTGGACGGCAGCCGATAATCGTGGCCAGGGAAGAACTCGGTGATCATCGGAGGAGCTTCCACGTGCTGGATTTTGGGCACATATGCCTTGAACTCGTATGCCTTCATCTCAAGTTGGCTGACACAACCACTGGAACTCTGTGATCCATCTTGCTCTACTGCTGATTCGCCCAAAACCAATTCATCGTAAGGGTAAAAAAGATTCTTGACGGTGGTTCCAGCATCAAAGGCAGACACTAGCGCTTTTTCTTGGCTTGTGCAGTCGAATTGGTAGTTGACGGTTGTGTTGTCGTTATGGTAAACGAACCAAATGGATTGGTTCCCCTTTCCCTTACCTGACAAGTCTTGAAATTCGGGCATGGTGGCCCGTAACACGCTCCATAACCCTGTCTCCGTTGCGACTCCATTGCTACCAGGCAGGAAGACGTCTTTTGTTTGATTCGAAAGAGCTTGTAGGAGATAGCCTGTTCTCAGTCAGTACTGTAAAACGATACCAAGAAGCGACCCTAGCCTACCATCGTTCAAAACCGGGTATGCGTTTCTCATAGAGTACATAGACTTGACAATATTGCGCACGGGATGTGCAGGATCCCGATGGTCCCAACTAACTCGCTCGTCTTCGCATCCACGGAGAGCCGAATCCAGAGGCATCTGGTAGTACTGAACACTTCCGAGCTTGTAGCATCCATGCGTTTGCCAAGCTGCGCTGGAACTGATGGGCTGCCTTCCGAAGATGTAATTGTCAGCAGTGTTGTCGAGAACATAGAATGCCTGTTCCTCGCCCCATGTGAGAAGAGGTATTCCAGGCATGTGAAGGACGGCGATGAACATTCCTAGGATCATTCTGGCGGTTCCGTCTCGAATGGAGGGCCATCTGAAAACGTCCTGGTTCGTGACGCCGAACATGTGCCTCGGATCAAAGACTCCCGTGTTTGGATTGACTAAATCGTTTGAAAGCATCATCGTATCCCAGGACTCTACCCAATTAAGGGGTGCATCATACCCAGCAGCGAGATTTCCATCCATACCGAGGAACCTGGTGAGACTGCGGTACGTAGTGTAGTGGAATGTGGCGGCATCGAGGGCATTTTTGCCCACGCCGCGGATGAAGTTGCTCGCATCGGATTTGTTGGTCATGGAAACAGCGTCGTTGAGTGTTTTCGCATATTGCTCAGGCTGCTTTCCACGCCCTAAGTAGATAGAACCAAATGTGTTACCGCCAGTGATCTCACCCGGGATGAAGAAGTTCTCTTTTCCCAGACGGTGCGCACATTGCCGTAGATGGTCGGCGAAATCTCCTTGAGCGTCGACGGTGACCTGAGTTGCTTTATCCATGCGAAAGCCGTCTATGTCGAGCATATTGATAGCGATGCATGAAAAGTGCTGTATCTTCTCGCGTACTGAAGGTTGCCATTCGCGAAGTCTATCCTGGACTGAGGCGAACTTTGAGAGCTGGCGCTGCCAATCTGGGAACACTCCAAAGGCCTCGGTGTCGCCGTACTGATCGAACTCGCTGTCATAACAACCAACCATATTGTCTGTAACATCACGACCGACACGTTCTCCGGTTTCGAGCCAGAATCCGGGATAACTGCAAGTCTTGTTGTACTCGTTCCCAAAAGAGAAGTCATGATAGATGCGGTCAGTTTTGTAAACGACCTTGTGCTCATTGAGGGTAAACGGCGTGGATTCGTTGAGGTAGCCGTCGAAGCCGATGAGGTCGCTCATGGTTGCCATTGTGTTATCCAACAACACGTACATGTCTCGCCGATGGATCTCGTCTATTACCCTGCGCCAGTTTTCAATAGTCCCGAAGTGAGGATCCAGGATAGTCAAATCCACGGGCTACGAGACGACCGTTAATTACAGTGTAGTGACCGGGAAAGCACACTCACCGAATAAGAGTCCGCTTGCCAGGGCAAATTGATGAAGGGCGACCCAGCAATGTACAGACCTTTAATGCCCATGCCTTGAATATAGTCGAGCGAGTCCAGTACACCGAGTATGTCGCCGCCGTGGCGGAGCTGCGTAGACATGACATCCTGTTCGAATAAGGTTCCGTTGAGGTTGTTGTTACGAGGGTCTCCATCCGTTAGCCTATCCAGGAAAAAAGCGTAGAAGGGAAATCGCCAATTGTCCGGAGATGGGGTGAAAGTGTGGTTCTCCCATTGTCCCCAGTAGTCGAGAGGACTGATAGCATCTTGGTTCTGATTAAGGTTGTAATCGGCAAAGGCAGGGTCGTATCGCAAACTAGCGGCTTTGACCACCAGGAAGGCGAAGAGAGCAAGTATCATATCGTCATAAGAGTTTGTTAAGGAACGTCAAGAAGAGAAAGTGAACAACGAGCATAGGGCAGAGCAATCCTCAACCGTTAGCAAATCGAGCGACTCAAGGCTTTTGTGCAAGCTCTTAGCACGGCATATTGACGAGCTGCAGGTGGCGTGTCGTAGCATAGCCATACTTCCCAATCCGTTCCGGGAGTCCGTCCGTGCGTAGGTTCGAGGTCAAGCAGACTAACGCTCAGACAGAGGTGCAGGTGCAGTGTTCGGCAGAAACGGCATTCAGGGTCCAGGCGCAAAGCTTCACAAAGGAGCCTTTTCGGCGCCAAGGTAGGGGGGCATTGTGGTACCCCAATGCACAACTCAACACTAGTGCCTGCTGAAAAGTTCGCGGAAGATGCGAAATCTGGACGACTCGTAAAGCTTTATCACGCACGCATGATGAATTGTGAGGGAGAAGAGAAGGGAACAACAAGAACGTTGCCTCTGGAAGAGTTGTGATATCATGCACCGTTGGTACCTACATCAGGATTGCGGGAAGCCGGCGCGGATGCCTCGTGCCCTGGCACCTGGGTTTCCCTGGTAGACTCACCTGAGACCGCATAGCATTTCGACTTGCCGTATGCGACTTTTGACGCCGCCGACGTTGAGGTTGACGCGGCGGAGTGATGGACTGCTGTGGCTTGCATGGTGGACATAACGCTGCGGCACCGAAGAAAAGGGCCAGACGACGTGATAGGCAGGCAGACGGCTCCGGACGGCTCCGGGAAGTCGGAAGGCAGCGTCAAGCCATGTGCGCAGAGCCTAGGGGCTATCGAGAATTGTGCACGCCCAGGGCTCAGAATAAGTTCGGCGCGAGTCTGCTCATTTGTACGCTGCTGCATCTAAGGTTAAGATAGCGTGCCACCGTGGGCGGCACGTGGGCGGCAGTGATCTTTAATCGTCCCGGGAGCGTGGGAGTCCGTGGGTCCGCTGCCAGCCTAGGGGCTACCCGTCCTTGAGCGACTTTCGAGACGCCATTCACATGGAAGCGCCAACCAGTAGCGTCCGGACGGCCGGGGGCCGTTCCGCCAGTTTCCTTTTGAGCGCCACACAATTTCCTGGTGTACTGATAGCACGCTGCTGGAAGCCCCTATCCGGAAATAGTATTACTCAACGCGCTCAAGGCGCCAGATAAGGTCTGAAATAGAATAAGGTGCCATGGTTGGAAAGGCCACTTCTATCGGAACCACGCGGGATCAAGCGAGAGAATCGGATTTCAAATAGATCCTCCGTCTAGCCTTTGCGTGGCTCATGCTCGGACGAGCCATGTCGACTTTTCCGGCGCAAGAGAGAAGCAGCCGCGGCGGGCTGTGTCGACCAATCTCATCGTTTGCGCAAAATCTTCGTAACTGCCGCCGCCGACCCGAGTCATTGATTCTCTGCAGCTTCCGCTGAGCGTTGCTTTGGTCTCGCTATGAAGGCTTCCCTTGCTTGTCTGTCCCGCACGGCGTGGGGGAACTGCCGATATTGATCCTGCCTCCATCCCGAAGGAACCCGACAAGAGCTGGCATTGCGCAAGGCTTGAGAGCTTGAGGGTGGAAAGGGAATTCTTCGCGACCGTACAAAATCAACACGGCACTTCGCCGCACTGTGAATCATGGCGGCGTACGATCCGCAGCTCTCTCCGGACTATTAGTATCATGAGTGCTTCGTTTCGAGGGCATCGACACGTTCGTAGTGCGAACGTAGGCCAAATCGCTTGAGACTGAGCATCATGCCGGTCGGAAACTCGGTAGCGAAGGGTCATGAAGTAATCGAATCCATCATATCACTCTCCGCTTGCCATTGTCGCTCATTTATCCAGCTCTTTTGATGCGATTCACAGGACACCCAAGCGATCGCCCGTATTCTGTCTTCGCCCTCCAGCCAAGCCTTCGTCCACCCAAGGCTTTGTCCAGCCCTACCCAGAGCCGCTTTTCACGGCTTTCATGACACGCGCACGGGTTCCCGCCGCTCGCATTGGTTTTGATGGCCGCTGTACGAAGTATAGCCCAGTGATGGAGCGTCGGTGGGTATGGGCAGGGGGATATCGGTGCTGGGTCGAAGGGAGCGGTGCGCGCGAGGCTGGGCATTCTCAACAGACACAGAGGCTTTGGCACATATGCGATGGCCAACAGTCATCGCCATCTAGGGGTGTTGAAGGTGATGAAGGGGTGAGTGTCGTCGCGATGGACGTTGAGATTGACGTGATGCTGAAGCGTGCCCAGGCGGGAGGCTGCGCTTGAGGCTGCGCTTGAGGCTGTGCGCCACGCGAACCTTCGGTTGGAAGAAATTGAGCTGAAGTTTTGTCCTCCTTGGCACAACCTCCGCGACGTCCCCACTATGCTGTTCTCCTCTCAGACGAGACCTCGTAAAAACAGTGCCATGATTCCAACTCGAATGACATGGTCTCTGTAGTATGACAAGGTAATCTGGCTGGTGGGGGCACATGTATGCTATCCCAGGACCTGCTAGTCGAGAAGTGAACCGATCTATACTCTGGGAACAGGCTAGGGCTGAGTAAGTAAGAGTCGAAGTTCCGTTCTGATGCTCTTTCTGTCTTTCTCCTCAGTCTCTATGTGTACGATCCTGCTTGGTGTCGTTTCTTTGTTTTACCATGCGCATCTCCAGTCTTGGCCTTCGTTGCCATCGATTCACAGAGCACCCGCGCTTTGGACAGTGTCTTGCCATAGATGTCTGTACACTTTCTTGCCACTGTCTGTGGGGCTCTAACGTACTAATAGAAATCGGGGGCAGCGGATACACTTCCAATCTGCGTACACCCTGTTGGCACTGTCTGAGGTAGCCTCGCGAGTTTACTAGTTGTCCATAATACCGAATTTCTCTCTTATTCGGAATGCTGAAAATACTATGAAGCTCCTCACGCAGCAGTAAGCGGGTGTACGGATTTCAATGGTGAGCCATTGGAATATGGCAACATGAATACCACGGCTTGCGATGACGAATGATGATTTCCTGAATATGTTGGCACCGTGGCAATGTCAGTGAGCTGGTAGAGTTTGAAAGAATTTAGGAGTGGTGAGACTGTGACTTACTCACGAGGTAAATTATGTGATACAATACTTAATGGATATCAAGAATGACGGCTCGAACTGGTATATACTTCAGAAGAATGTCGTCCCATTCAATGCCTGTATCAAAGCGCCAGTCGACTGAATGCGTGCCCGGGACGGCTACAAAATCATGACAGTCCACACCTCAGCCAGAACGCTTGAGCACAAGGACGGCGATTTCTTCCTTCCCAGTCCGCGTGGCTACTTGAGTATGGCCCAAAACTTCGCGGAAGCGTCTACCATGGCTGTCCTGGGTCCAATTAAACGCTGGAAGAAGACAAGCTGGGGTGTAACTACGACTACTGTTCTCTGCCGGCCAAGGCATGCCAGCTAAAGAAGACATTCTCAAATCCATTCTACAGGGCGCCTCGGAGGACGACTTCATCGCGAACACGGCGTGCAACGCTACCGCCATCTGTAAGATGTCTACTGACGGGGTTCATGGCTTTGCCGACGAACCCCAAGCAGGTGTCATCTCTGCAAATGGCACCATCTGCATCATTGCAGGTGGTAGCGCTGATCTATCAGACTACAACCAGCTCATCGTGGTCCGCCCGAACCTATCTTACAGCCTAGTTAGGACCGACGACTACAAAAACGCGGTGAAGAGGATCTTGGACCAGTGCATAATTTCAGGCCAACACTATGGTGGGTATTGGAAACGAGCGGACGGGCTGGATATCGAAACTTCCAGCAGCTTATACAGGCGCGTTCCTTGGATTCCCGATTGTGGTATAAATAGCGAAGACAATGTACCGCAATTGCCTGTTCCTTATCGGCCAGGGGGTGCTTAACGGCGTTCACCGCAAGCGTCTCGGCATGCCAGGCGTTGGGAATGTTGCTGTTCACATACGCGCGACCTTCTCGACGAGTTCAAGAACACGCAGGACGACCGTGTTAAATATGCAAAGGCACAAGTGGAATCGAAAGCAACGACATTGCGAAAGTCTGTGTAGCAACCTTCTGGTAATGCCTCGTTAGGGTATCCACCGTGTCCTAATCAATTGGCTATTCACCTCGGCCCGAGGGAGCGCTAGCTATCCGAACAAAGGAAGATCAGATGTTGTTGGTTGTGCTATGATCCTATTAGGAAGGAGGGGTGACCGCCAAGAATTACAATCCGAGTTCGCAATTCACTTTGTTCACTACGTCAACAGCAACCAAAACACACCTCTATTAAGCTCTTGTTCGCACCGGCGTCTTGTGCGGCACGGCTGGGCTTCGAAGCTGACCACTCAGTCAATCCAACAGCCCTTCCTGTGCTCTGCTTTCCGCCATTGGGCTCACCAAGGGCAAGACGGGGACGCGGCTCGCTACGACGGTGAAATCGGCTCGGATCGAAACCAGTCAGCGTGCTTAGGCGTTCAAGATGCCCTTTTCTACTGGCAAGGAGGACCTGCTCCAGCTGAACCGAGAGCAATTCGACTTCAACGTACAGTTCGAGCAGCTGTTCTTCTCCATCATACCGTCAGTGTTGTTCATCGTAACATCAGTATGGCGCACGCTTTCCCAAGCACGAAAGCCCTCCGTGGTGAATGCTCCGGTTTTCCAGCTCATTAAAGTGGTATTCTTTTCCCCAAAGTGTGCCGGGTATAGTCGAAACGCGCTGATCAAACTACTGCAGGGTGCTATCATAACCTATGTTGCGCTTGAACTCGCACTCCTCATCTTGGCTGCGGCTGGATTCTTCCGTGTGACCAGCATGTTTATTGCTGCATCTGCCCTCAAACTCGTGTCAGCTCTCCTAATGATAACGCTCAGCGCTGTTGACCACAGTAGAAGCCCGAGGCCGTCCGTGCTATTAAGTATCTACTTGTCTCTGACTCTTCTCCTAGACGCGGCTCAGGCTAGAACGCTGTTTCTGTCATCACTTGGCAAGCCCGAGCTTACCTACAGCAGCATATTCAGTGCTGCTATAGCCCTAAAAGCTGCAGTATTGCTGTTGGAAGCCAAAGAAAAGTCCCCATGGGTACGCTGGGACGAGAAAGAGCACAGTCCAGAGGAGACGAGTGGCATATTTTCCCTTGGCGTCTTCTTCTGGCTTAACAAGATGTTCCTCTTGGGAAACAGCAAAATCTTGACCGTTGAGGACCTGTACCCTCTCGACAGCGCCTTTGACGCCAAGACGCTCCACGACGAGTTCTCTAAGAACATAGATTACTCCAAACTGAGGGGCGATAAGTTTGGTCTGCCAAAGGTGCTCGTACGCACACTCAGAGTCCCTCTTCTAATTCCCATCCTCCCACGCCTCGCGATGCTGGGTTTCACCTTTTGTCAACCGCTTTTTATGGAAAAGCTTTTAGACTACCTATCCCAGCCTGAGCTCGACGCAAATGTCGGATATGGCCTTATCGGCGCCAGCATGTTGATTTACTCGGGAATTGCTATCTCCACGGCCTTATACTGGTACAGTAGAACCTGCGAAAGAACTATCACCAAGATCAGCTGCTTATGCATTAGTTTAGGTACTTCCACAACCGAGCGCGTACTATGACAAGATCGATACTAGTCACCGAGATCTTCATTAAAGCCACGAGGGCTCGAATCGGAATCGCCGATGACAGTGCTGCGCTGACTTTAATGAGCACAGACATGGAGCGAATTAGGATTGGCTTAAGGTCTCTGCATGAGATTTGGGCCGGCATGATACAGGCTGCTCTAGCTGCGTGGATGCTGTACAACCGACTTGGCGTGGTTTTCGTGGCACCCATCGGGATTGTTATAGTCTGCTTCACCGGCTTGGGGATCCTAATGAGCTTCACTGGGGACTCGCAGAGAGCCTGGATGGCAGGAGTCCAGAAGCGTGTTGGTCTGACGGCCACGGTCATCGCCAACATGAAGAACTTGAAGATATCTGGCCTCTCTGCTGCCGTCAGCAGCTTTGTGCAGAAGCTCCGCCTTGAGGAGCTAGCGGCGGGAGCCCGATTCCGCAAGGTATTCATCACTGCGGCCCTCTTTGGCTTCATTCCGCAGCTAATCAGCCCGCCACTAACCTTCGCATTTACTCAACAAACATTGGATGCCTCAACAATGTTCACGTGCCTTGCTTTCCTTGCGCTTTTGACCAACCCGCTGTTGCTGATCTTCGACTCCTCCCCCCAGCTCGTCTCTGGGCTGGCATGTTTGGGCCGAGTCCAGGCTTTCTTGGAGTGCGAGACTCGCCATGATTTTCGCCAAGTTCTTGCTGAAGTAAGGCATAATGCAGAAAAGGCCCCAGATGACACCGAATCTTCGTCTGATTCGGCATTGATCATCCGAAACGGAAATTTCGGTTGGGAAGCAGGCAAGTCCGTCTTGCGGAACGTAAATACTCGAATCTCCAAGTCCTCACTCACCGTTGTCGTCGGACCCGTTGGCTCCGGGAAATCTACGCTCTGCAAGGCACTACTTGGAGAGATACCTTTTAGCGAAGGTAGCGTGATTTCAAGTAGGTTCGCTCACATTGGATATTGCGAGCAAACGGCATTTCTCTTGAACGGGTCGATCAGAGACAACATCGTGGGATTCTCCCCTTTCAACAACGAGAGATATGCGGAAGTCATCGATGCTACGGCTTTGAGCTTCGACTTTACCACGCTCCCGCAAGGAGATCAAACAAATGTTGGATCTGATGGAATCACATTATCAGGGGGCCAGAAACACCGCGTTTCTCTCGCGCGAGCTCTGTATCTGCAGTCGGACTTGCTAGTTCTCGACGATATCTTCAGTGGGTTGGATGCGGATACCGAGGAACGGGTTTTTCAGCGAGTCTTCGTGCCAGGTGGACTACTCAGGCGACGACGCTCTACGGTCGTGTTGTGCACCCATAGCATCAAACACCTACCTGCAGCGGATCACATAATAGTACTCGGAGAGGGCACCGTTGCCGAGCAAGGTAGTTTTGGGGAACTGATGACCGGTCAAGGTTATGTTCAGCGTCTGAGATTAAAGGGTTTTCCAGATAGCGATGCTTCGTCCGAGACAACTACGTCAATGCGGAGCGTGCAGGGATCGAAGCAGCAACTACTCCATACGACAACGAACGGCGCAGTGCCTCTTGCGCCGGACACCGATAAATCGAGGCAAGTTGGCGATAAAACGGTATACAAGCATTACGTCAAGAGCATGGGTTTGTTGCCGGCAGCATTTAGTCTGCTCTTCGCCATTCTTTGGGGTTTTTTCACGAACTTTCCATCAATCTGTCAGTCAGCCTTGTCTTCGGACAGCAGAGTCCACACGACTTGGCCTTTCAATCAAGGCCATCAGAGCCCGTTATGGAATCCAGAATAATATGGACTAACATCTGTAGGGCTCACGTACTGGACTGACGACGTCTACTCGGAACATCCGGCGCACTCTTACGCTTACTACGCCCGGATATATGCTTTGTTCCAAGTATGCGCCCTGGTATCGCTGCTTCTCCTCGCCATAACGCTCTGGGTTGTCGTTATAAAACGAGCAGGTGCCAATATTCACCAGGAAGCCTTGCGAACTCTTATTCGAGCACCATTGAACTTCTTCACCAAGACGGATACTGGTGTCGTTACAAACCTATTTTCGCAGGACCTGAACCTCATAGACACGGAGCTACCAGAAGCAACGTTGAACGTTTTGTTTTGCGTAAGTCTGTTCTCATTAAAAATGACAGGGAGTTTGTAGTGACGTTTCCCTCTTTGGTAAAAGTATTTGAAGAAAACCATCCGGTAGTCTGACGCAGAATTCGCAGATCTTTCAAGTACTCGGGCAAGCGGCTGTCATGCTTACTTCGTCCGTGTGGTTGGCCATAGCCTATCCGCTCATCGGCGCTATAATGTATGTAGTGGGAAGGTTCTACCTGCGGACTTCCAGGCAGCTCAGATTTCTTGACCTTGAGGCTAAAAGCCCCTTATAGTAAGTTCACGTGGGCGCTTATTATGCGCTATACTAATCTGCCTTCGTCTAGCACACATTTCCTTGACACTGTTAAGGGCATCACAACTCTGAGAGCCTTCGGTGAGTAGTATGCAAAACAGAATCGACACCGAAAGCATGTCTAATAAGATACTTCGCGGCATCTCTGTTCAACACTTGGCGTCGCTGCTGACACTAGAGATGTGCAGGTTTCCTTCCCGACGATGTCCAAAAGAACGCTCGCTTGATTGATACTAGCCAACGACCGGCGTACCTCCTCCTCATGATTCAAGAGTGGCTCAACCTCGTTCTTGGCCTCGTAGTCATGCTCATAGCAGTGGTCCTGGTTACTCTTTCCGTCCGGCTTCACTCCAAGTCTGGTTTCGCCGGCGCTGCTTTGTACAGCCTCATTTCTCTCGGCGAAAACCTCACGGGCATGGTCCTACAATACACTAGGCTAGAAACCTCTATTGGAGCGATTGCCAGACTCAAAACGTTCAACGAAACCGTCAAGCCGGAGGACAGAGATGAAGAGGACATTGTTCCTCCCGAACAGTGGCCTCACGCGGGCGTGGTAGAATTGAAGGGTGTATCCGCAGCTTATGAGTAAGAGAAACATATCTCACGAAAACCACATCATCTAAAACAACGCTAACGCCCCGGTGTAGTGCGGAAGTCCAAATCGACGGCACACCCAACCTAGCTCTCCGCGACATCCACCTGACAATCGACTCGGGCGAAAAGGTAGCCATCTGCGGCCGCACTGGCAGCGGCAAATCCAGCCTCATCGCGCTGCTTCTCAAGCTCCTCGATCCCCTCTCCGAAACTGCAGGCAACGCGATTATCGACAACACGGAGCTCCGTCGCATCCACCGGCCCGCGCTACGCCAGCGCATCATCGCAGTGCCACAGGAAGCCGTGTTCTTGCCCGACAGCACTACCTTCCAGACCAACCTGGATCCGTCCGATGTCTCAGCGCCCGAGGAATGCCAAGCGGTTCTCGCGGCCGTCGGCCTGTGGGAGTTTGTTCTCGAGCGCGGCGGTCTGCACGCAGGAATGAGCTCGGGGACGCTCAGCGCCGGGCAGCGGCAACTCATCTCGGTTGGGCGCGCGCTGCTTCGACGTCGCATCCGGGCGCGGAATCTAGAGCGTATGGGTATATCTGCAGACAGCGGTATCTTGTTGTTGGATGAGGTGAGCTCGAGCGTAGATCACGAGACGGAACGTGTGATTCAGGAGATCATCAGGACGGAATTCAAAGACTACACGGTTATAGCGGTGAGCCATCGGTTGGACATGATTATGGACTTTGATACAGTCGTTGTCATGGACTCGGGAGCGGTAGTGGAGGTTGGGAATCCCGCGGTGTTGGCTGGGGAAGCGGGGACGAGGTTTGGGGATTTGGTGAGGGCTGGGGCTAAGGAGAAATCAAGGTGAGCTTAGTCTACCGCTGGATTATCTTAGTGGTTGCATATTTGGGAAGTTGTTCTAGCCTATTCTAGGCTATCTGAAGTTGGGGCACTTATAAAGTATCAAGCCATATACGTATAAGTATTACGATTCGTAGATTTTATAACCTGTGAGCTCTTAACCGTAAAGTAGAGAGAGGGGTGACGCGGAGAAAGGGGTTGGCAATCACGGGCACGTTGTGGCGAGAGTCAAACAATATATTCTTACGACCATCTGGAACCTCTCCATTTCGGTCTCTTTTGTACCTACCCGGTCGCTGGTCGGAGCGGGTTAACTGCTATTATGCGATTACCCGATGGAAGACGCACGGCTGACCAGCACGTCGTCGAAGCTGGCAGTAGGAATTACTATGGGGTCATCGAAAAGGGAAGACGGAGCTCGATTTTAGAGGGCTGGGGTTTGTCGTTGGGGTTTGTCGAGTTATTCATGCATTGGAGAGAGGCGTTGAGAACCCAAAAGCTTAGATAATGAGCTTCGGTGTAAAAAAAGCTTTTTCGAGGCGTAGAAGCTTAGGACTACAGTCCAACTTTCTGACGTTGTAGGTTCAGAGCGCCCTACTCATTCACGTTCTGGAGAGTTCTCATGTAATTAGTTGTAGCTTAGTTAGCTGCTGCTGCGTGTACCAGATCGCTCTGCTCGGTATATCTAATCCATCGATTTACCTTTTGCTCATGCTGTCACATGGTGGACTACCGACTTATGATACACCTAGAGTAACGTTAAGGTCCGAAAAGTTCATACCCAGTAACCCCTCCCCACAAACCCATGAATGTTTGACGACGCCCAGGCTCCCTTCCCTGGAGGAGAAGAAGGTGCCATAATTCCCCAGAGCCCGATACTGAATGTCAAGATGTCAATCGACATAAATATACTCTCTCAATAACTTCCGCGGACCGATGTCTTGCTATGACCAAAGACCTAGCTTGGAAAGGCGATAGTGACTCAGGGTCCTACCCTTCTTACGTCGATATAGTCCTTGAAAACTAGCTGCTTCCACAAAATGTGGTTCAGCCGGATGGAATATCGATTAATGGCTTCGAATGAAAGTCTGAAAAGCCTTCCAAGAATCCAAAGCAGTAGAAGGCGAATAAATAGCACGAAGTAGCAAGCTGACGCTGAGATCAAAAATACCTGACACAATTATTCATACGTTGTCGCTCCTGTCGGGGATGAAGTCTCGGCCTTTGATGACTGGTGCTCGTCCGGTAAGGTCTTATCCTTAGTTTCCTCGTGCTCAAGAGGTAAAGGAGAGCTAAGACCACGAGTGTAAGCAGTTTATTCCCTCTCACGCAGTGACCTATCCTTTCACCCTGCCGGAAGGCCAAGATGTGTACTGGCGCTGCCCTCCCTTTTCTAACTTCTTTGAGCAACAACTTTGACGTTCGAAGTCCGAGAGAGTTAGCTTTGGTCGGATTCTCCTCATATAACCGAATATTATGTTTCATTTCCTCGATGAACTGTTCATCGACTCTTTCTCCCCAAATCTGCATCCGGCTCGGGATGATGTTATAATTGATGTTATGATCGACGCCCACAAGATCGCACCATTCGTTGGCCTCCAGAGGGTCCAATACCGGGAAGTATTGCAGGGTGCGATCAGCTGCAAGCGCTCGCAAGACTATCTGCCTCGCTTCCAGGAGGGTCTGACCAGTGTCTTTACTGGCAGGTTTCGCCATCAGAGTTTCCACCCAACGCAGCTCTGCCCCGACCGCCAGGGTTGCACGTTCTTTGTCCACGTCGACTACTCTGGATTGCCATCCCTCTGTTCCTGCACTGGAGCTATTGCGGATTTTGGTGAAGAGATGCTCTACTTCCGAGGGGTCTGCACCTGCGGCCACACGGTCTAGGATGCGAAGTCGTGCGTCGACAGCAGATTTCACCCGAGGGCCGAGGCGCTGTGTAGAAGGATTGGGAGATTTAGGGGGGGTGGGATTCGAGCTGAAGAATCAAGATCGATTAGACAGGTGCTGAGGGTGTATAACAAGGAGGCTGACGCCCGTTACAGCGTAGAGTATCGTACCTTCGCGGAGAGCTACGAGGGGCCCCATTTGACCATTAAGGCCATCTTTTCTCCTCCTTGGCGTTGCATATCTTCATACCAGAGCGCGTGAGTATACGTAGGGGAATGCTCGAGGTATGGGTGCGACACGAAGCCATCGTGTTGCGAGGTAGAGGCGCGGAACTCCGGCCATTGCATACGCAGAATGAGAGAAGCAAAGGAGAGGACGGCCAGGCAGGAACCCTCAAGGATGAAGTCCCAATACCAAGTCCCGCAGCATTGTAGCTGCTATGTGGAACTGCTGGGAGAGTAGATGGTGTCGATGTGAGGTTGAGGATGAAGCTGGGAGTTGGACCACTGAAAGGTCCCTGGATTGAATTGCCGCGGTCACGTGAGATTAGTTCTCAACGGACCCCAACGTCAGATGTATCACCTCAGATAGAATATACGATCTAGATGATGGGTTCTTAAGCCCGAGTAGGCAAAACACTCACGGTGTCACGTGCTGATCAAATGGGACGCGACTCCAGCTTCCCCTCATCGGACCGACTCTCGATATATGGCTAGCGGATTCGAAGATAACGAGTGGACCCATCTCTAGCACCACTACAACATGCGCCCCCTCGTCTCGCCCACACACAGCGCCAACACCAATGGATCATGAGGAATCGCAGTCGGATAGCTCGCGACCAGCCAAGAGGGCCCGCACCCTAGCTTGCAAAAGATGCCGCCACCGAAAGCAGAAGTGCGATGAGAGCCGGCCATGTAGGAACTGCAGGAAGTCTGGAGAAGAGTGCGTCGCCACCGAGCCCGCCCCCAGAGGCCATGCTGAAGGCGAGTATATTCGAGCCTTGGAGGAGCGCATTGCGGAGCTGGAAGCTCTGGATCCGCAGCAGAGTCTTGATCATATTCAGAGACGGTCATCCCTTTTGAACAATGCAAGAGCACAACTGGCCGACCACCAGAGCCGGCCTTCAGCTAGCACCTTGGAACGGCCAGAGTCGAATGGCATAGCTGGTCCAGCGCCATCAGAGGTCGTCTCCGAATCGCCAGGCGACTTCCACGCTGCTGTTTCCCCAGCCTCGACCGCCCGGAGTGCTGCGAATACCCGGGTATCGAACATGTCTAATGAAGCCCAATTGCGGCATGTTTCGAACCTCGGTCTTGACGATGATTCCGATCTGGACCACCTTATTCTAGGACTCGTCACATCACCTGCTGCGTCAAGGGACGACGCGGCATTTGCGGACTCTCCAAATTTTCACCACGCATCGTCCACCAAGTCCGGCTTTCTACCACACAGTCTAGTGGCTCAGCTCCCATTAGAGGTAGAGGAGCTTTTGCTAGATGCGTACCACGAGCGAGCTCAAGCACAGTATCCCTTTTTCCACTGGGACACGTTCCTCTTTTGGCATTCTACTTGGAAGACATGTCCACCCAGCGATTATGGGCGTCAAGCATGGAAAGGTTTCTTCGTCAATATGGTATACGCAACTGCCCTACTTCTGATACCTCGGGTGGGAAAATTCGACTCTCAGATCTTCTACCGACAAGGCGTCACTCTCCTGCCTTCCGTACTTAGACAAGGCGATCATATCTTGCAGATTCAAGCATACCTGGTCATGGCCATGCATGCATTGCACAGAAGCTCTACGGATCGTATTATGTCTCTTTCCTCAACCGTAATCCGTTATTGCGTACAAGCGCAGTTTCATCTCGCGGAAATGGAGCCAGAACCGATCAACGCGACTATCCACCTAGAGAACCAGCTGCGGCGGCGGACCTTTTGGTGCGCTTACAAGCTCGATCGGTTGGCCGCGTTTTCTTTTGACCTTCCCCCTTCAATCCCCGACAGCACAATCACAACAAAGGTCTATGCGAACGTAGAGGACTCGGATCTTCTGCAGCTTGCAGCTGCCACACCCGTAGACGTAGATATACCGGATAGCCTAGGATATACCTGTGTCTCGCCATCTCTGCACATCATTCAATGCAGGCGAATCCAGTCAGAGATACTGGGCTTCACCCTCCACTGGAACTATGCCACGCAATTCGAGTCCTCCCCGGAATGGCGGATACGGATCCTTACTGAACTTAACAATTGGAAGTCTCAAGTCCAGACTTTCTCAGATTCCAGATCCAAAGGATACACCAGTCAGAGGTGGCTTGCCATGATCTATCACTATACACTGGTCATGCTTTATCGACCCACCAAGCAAAATGTGATTGGTCCGGCGGGGGACTTTGCGGTACAGGCTTCTAGTCAAGCTTGCCTCATGTTCCGAAAAACGCAAATGGACCGGCAGATTGCTCAACGTATGTCTTTGCCCCTTCCAATGTATATCTGACTATGCTAATCTCCTGGCAGCTTGGCTTGGAGTAAGTTCTCACAACCTCGACGAGGCATAGTCTCTAACCTTGATTCAGCTACTCGTGCAATTTCAAGCGGGCATAACTCTTTTGTACTGCTTTTGGGCAACCCCACCTCAGTATCGGACGGAGAATTATGATTCCCCCGATGTATCTGATGCACTACGAGCGTGTTCCAACATTCTCGCAATCATGGCCGATCGCTGGCCGAAGGCAGACTGTCTGCGAGATGTCTTTGAACTGCTAGCACGAGAAATACCTCTGTAAGCAGCCATTCTCACTTGCTATCCGCGAACTTGCTAATCTCGTTCTCCAGCGTCGATCGCCCTAGCAGACCACCAGTGCGGATATCGGACAAATCAGCCACAAAGCTGCGGCAAGCTCTTCCCGATGTACGCCGTCTCATTGTGCATCGGATTGTCATGCGAATGATTGAGGAAATGATCGAGGACGACTTTCCACGACCAAAAAGCACCCCGCTCCAAACTGTATCCTCCATACCTGGGCCCCGAGAGTCAGCCATGAGGGAAAGTATCATGCCGACGCCTCAGTTGAGCCGTCCGCCGCCGTCTCCGCCACCTACGCATATGACGTTCGAAATGCCGTTCTCGGCGCCGCAGTTCTACAGTATTGATGGGGCCAATGCCTTCGATGCCGAGATGCCTTCGTTTCCAGGCATCTTTGATTACGATTCATGGACTTGAGCAATCCCCAAAAATATAGGCTTAAACTACGCAAAAAAGTTTACATCTGGCTACTCTAAGTGTCCTTCTTATCCCCATCGCCCTTGAGACGCAGTCGTAAATCGTGGTCCGACGCTTACAGTCTTCAAGTTTTAGGGAATCTCGGTCATTTACTTCTATTTCTATTTGCATATACCCGAATCAAGCCATTCCAATCAATGCCTCTTAATGTTTGGCGCACTCCCTTTCTCGACTATCTCTTCGCCGGCCACAGTCTCAAAGAACGCGTCTGCCAGGTATCCACCGCAGTAGCTCAACTTCTCGAACCCATCCGTCATCGGCTTCGTCGCCAAAGCCGGCGTTTGCACTGTCTGGATATAGCCCGCGATACCTTCCTCAGCAAACAGCTTGCCAAACTGTTCTGTCAAGAGATTCAACCCTTGCAGACTCCAGATGGGCTGTACCTGCCACACTACACCCATCTTTGCCAGGTCGAGATGCAGCGTTTTGACTGCGGACTCTGAGAAGCCGGCCTTCCCGTAGTCATAATCACCCGTGTACCCGAATGCAAAAAGTCGATCTGGGAAGACTTTGCGGACCTCGGTATGGAACTCGACGATATCCTTCCAAATGGGCGAGTCCATGCGTGCCCACGTAACATCTCCGAGCGGTGCAGCAGCAATCGCACGTTCGATGATTGTCTTAACTGTAGGCTGGAACATGTACTGGCCAATGTACGACCGCGGCAGCTCCCAGTCAAAGAAAATATCCTTGCCGAGAACCTTCGACGCGATCTCCCGGCGGGATGCGATCGAAGGACTCGCTTTTGACAACTCCAGCTTGTATGTCTTGAACTGATCTTCCAAGGCTTGCGCTTTGACGGCATCGTCGAAGGTGAGAAGACCAGCAGATGCTTTCCATGCACTGCGCACGACTTTGAGGTCCTCTCCAACAGCCTGCGCATCAGCAAGCACGTCCTTAAGTGGCCGTACTTGCCGAGTAGCGCCAAGAACGTATTCGTGGTCGCGTGCATCTACGACACTGGAGATGAACTCGGAGTGGTCGATGTCACAGCGGCACAGAAGAAGCGTATCGGCACTATTCATACCAGTCAGCCCCATATCAACTTTGCACTTCGGACCAGAGCTTACCCCATAACATCAAACTGCATCCGCACCGCCTTTAACCGATCCAAGTACTCGGATGTAGGCACTACCGTCCGTCCCTACAGGTTCAAGGTTAGCCCCAAAGCTCGATAACATCATCCTAGCCCTATCTGGGAAGCCTACCTGCCCAACCGTAAACTTCTTCATCCCAATCGCCAAATCATCCAAATGGATCATCGCTACTCCACTCTCCACAAATTCTTTCGCCATCTTCATTGTGCTCGTCAGGTTCCCGAAACCCATGTCGCCGTCCGCGACAATCGGCGCCAGGTAGTCCCAGTTCTCTAACCCCGCACGCTCGGATACGGGATGTCGCATCCGGTACTGGCGCTGTCGCTGGTCGTGCCACAACTGCGACGAGAAGACCTTCTTCACGACTTTGGGGACCGTGTCCCATGGGTAGTCGCACGCGTCCATGCCCGGGAAGGACACCTCGCTGAAGCCGCAGAGGGCGCCGGAGACGTAAACGCTTTGTTGGTGCTTGGCCATTTGGGAGACCACGACTGGGTCGGTGGTGCCGAAGGTCAACTCGCACGTCCCAGCGACATTGTGGGCGTTGAGTTGGTTCCACAGCTTTCGACCTTGGGCGCTTGAGGCGTAGGATTGCGGGATGGTGTTGCGGAGGGCGGCGATTGTGCGGGCGGTGTATGGGCTTTAATTTCACGTCAGTAAAAAAGAATCGTGTAGGGGGAGATGGAACATGCCGTTTCAAATGCGGCCGCTCACTCCACTGCTTCTCGATCGCCTTCACCTCTTCCTCGAACGCCGCCTGTTCTTGCTCTACTGAGATGTTTAGTTTTGGCATCGTGGTATCTGTAGCTTGGGTTCCAGAGTCCGTTGTTCTGAATATGGTAGATGTGAGCTTGGAGAGCATTGAACTGTTCGAGCAATGAGGGGATGGTGGGCCGACGAGGTGATGAGGGGTGAGTGAGGGACACCTGCTACTGTGGTATTTTGATATTCGCTATTTGCTAGGTATCTTTGCGCAGTAGCCCCACCATTCTCCATTATTTTCCAATCTCAACGCGTCGCTGCATCCGTGGTCGCGTTGTTAGAATCCGCGATAGCACCCCGAGCTCCATCGGACTCGCGAGTCCGAGAGGGGTGGAGTAGGGCCGATTGGGTCGACCGGGACCCTGGACTTGGGACCGACCCTTGGATCTCGTGGCGAGCCATGCGGGACGGGAGAGATGCCGAAGATTACGACGGCGTTTGGGGTCCTTGGAGGGTGAGATATGGCTAAGTGAGGTAGGCAGGGTGCCTCACAGTCTAGCAGGATACCGTTCCGCAGCTCATCTCTCCTGCCATCGACATGTTTCCTTAAACACGCTTTAGGGTTTAGGAAGGGATGTTTGCATCGTAGTGTTCAACATGCAGTTGTTCTTACAAAGGTAGCTCTATCGCTCGCTACTACTATTTCTACCGCCTTCTTGAAAGACGTAAGCAACATGTAAAACCCACCGGAATGGAGCTTGTTTAGTGGTTCAAGCAGCTTCAGCAAACCCTTGATATGTCTTGTTGTGATGGGAACTGCATTTATAGCTTTCTGGTCACATTTAGTCGTTCTGATTTAGCTCTCACTTTTCCATTCAACGGCTAGCTTCTCTAAGCCCGACAAATCCTAACGTACTCCACAAGCGAGCGGCCCACCCAAGCGAGTGGCCCACCTCATCACCGGAACGCGCTCCGTTAACTTTCAACCACCATGCCTCAACA